GTGTATGTAAAAAGTCAATAACTAAATTTGTATTAAAACTTTTCGACACGAACTGTCATTTCCATACAAATTTAGTTTTCGACTTTTTACATACACTACTGTTAAGGCATCTTGACTAAGGTAGTGTTTCAATGAGTTGTATTAGATGCCAACGTAATACGTGAAATCCAAGTAAAATTCAAATTTTAATGCAACTAGCTTTCAATATATACTCTTTCGATGTCACTGTGTTTTATTTATTATTTCACTTATATATCCAAATTTAATAGTCGATGTGTCTGAAAGTAATTTGTTTAGAAATTATGAACACGTGATTGAATTGAAATGTCAATGCATTTATTTAATTTCATTAAACGTTATTCTCATTTTCAGTATTATGTTTGGTATAAATAAATCGATAACAAACAAAAGCAATAACTACGTTTTGGTATTCTTCTTCTTTACAGTCTTACTGAAGGTTGTGCCCTAACCGATACGTCGACTTGCTGCCTTCACACTACTCTATCCTCGGCTTGTCTCAGGGTATTAGGGATGTTGTTTTAATTTGGTCACACCAACGGATAGGCGGTCGCCCCCGACTATTCCTACCATCACTCCTCCATACCATTTCCAGTCGAGAGTATTGGTTATCTCCTTGTAATATGGTCAAAGTAGCTAAGCACCAGTTGGTCAATTGATAGTTTTGTGGTGATCTTCAGTTGTTTGAGAAAGGACTTATATTTATATAGGTACTACAGGGAGTCTCAAAAGGAACTTCATATTTAGTTGATCGATTTAAAAAAAGTACCTAAGTCGTGTATCAAAAAAGTGTTTATTCATTATTAAAGTACACATTTTGGGAATTAATTTCTTAAAAATAATACCATCCAAATGTAGAACCTCGCGTTCGCGGCACTCATTAAATCGAACAATAAAATTACTTATGATGGCTCGGCAGGTGGACTCAGTGATGGCTGCCATTTCGTGACAGATATTTTCTTTCAATTGCGCCAGAGAAGTCGGCTTATTGGCGTAGACTTTAGATTTAAGATGACCCTATAAGAAAACATCCATAGGGGTTAAATCAGGACTGCGTGGAGGCCAATTTATGTCACCTCTCCTGGAGATCAATTTGCCTGAGAAAATTTCACAAACTCATGGCAGAGACGTATTGGACGTGTGCGACGTTACTCCGTCCTTCTGGAACTGCATGGCTATAGCCAGGAAAGTTTTGAAGTTCAGGCACCAAGAAGTCGTCTTACATTTTGACATAACGCTAAATAAATAAATGTAAACCCTGTTATTAGCTAAAAAAATCAAGAATGGTCATTGGTTTTTTGTAAGTTACACCTAGCAAAAACATTTGCACTTTTCAAAACTCTTTAATTTGTGTTATGTCTATTTGTTCTGATTCAACAACTGTTGCACGATAAGCTGATAAGACTACTTGTAAATTACAAATGACATACTGACCTGAATTAACACTTATGATTCGATAAACAATAAACAAAGATCATAGGATCCTGGTGAGGTCTTATTGTCACAGACATATATAAACTTATTTATATAAAAAAAAAGATTTCATATTCTGTCGAATATACTTTTAAAACCAATCTTGAACCTAGTTGTAATACCTGTAACAATACAACATCTTCACTTAAAATAAATCAGTGGCGCGATTTAGAAATGGGTAAAATACAACCTTTTTAGGTCTTGGCCTCAGATTTCTGAATCTGTTTCATGATCAATTTTAAATATAATAGGCAAGTAGGGGATCAGCCTTCAGTGCCTGACACACGCCGTCGACTTTTTGGGTCTAAGACATGTCGGTTTCCTCACACTGTTTTCCTTCACCGTTCGAGCAAATGTCAAATGCGCACACAGAAATAAAGTCCATTGGTGCACAGCAGGGGATCGAACCTACGACCTCAGGTATAAGAGTCGCACGCTGAAGCCACTAGGCCAACAATGCTCTCATCTTTACTTATAGTTAAATTAAATAACATTATTAATGTTCAATAACTAAAAACTCTTGAGCAACTGAATGTTTGTAATTACATTAAACCACAAGTTGTTACGATAACTCCTATCAGCGCCGATAAATAATTACACAATTTAACTATAATGCATATTTTCTTCAATAAAATTTAGAGATTTTTAAGACAAATGCCGGTTAAAAACTTTTCAAATAACACATTTTATTCTCAATTCGTAAACCATACGATACGTCAAAACATTTTTTTAAATTTAAATTAAAGTTCTGCATTATTTATTTCTTTTTATAATTAGTTCAATAGTGCTGGAAAGTCTATAAATTTTCTTTAAATCAAGAATATATTTAAACCTATAAGGAAAAAAAATATTTTTAAACACAGATTTTTTTGTCTAGTTGAAAAAAGCAGCAAGGTGAAAAAGTCAATAAAATGTTATACACCAGCTTTCCTGTACCTTATTTGGACAGGGCTATTAATTAAATATAAAATGTTTGGTATGTAATTCTATAATTTTCAAACCATAGAGTGTAAAATAGAAACCTGATACACATCTTATAAGGTGTCAAACAGGTTCCGAAGATTTATGAGAATTAAAATGTCTAGTTTATAAAAACATGGAAAGTATTAATGCTCCAAATTGTTAAACCAAACACGAAAACGTCACATTATTTATTTTTGTGAGCAATTACCAGCGCTTTTCACACTCGTATGATAATTGCTGGTCTACGTTCTCGTGAAGAAATGTCACAGATTCGTTGAATAGTTGAGATTTTTTCGAAAGAGATTTTACATGAGTTCACATTCTACTTTAAAGAGTGGGTTTTCCTCTTTTCTAAACGGGATTACTTTTTAAGAGTCTGTAAGTCTGTGGAAAAGATGCGATTTTTGGCTTGTCATTTGAATTTTACAAGATTTTTTTTAGAACATTTTTGAATTTTAATTAGGAATTAGATTAAAATTAATTGTTTTGAAGAACTTTTATGAAATAACAAACTCTAAATGTGTTGCTGAAATATTTATAGAATTATTCTAATGTTAAGTTTTTCAACAAAACATCTTAAATTTAATCATTTACCTTTTATTTCTTACATCTATCGGTCTGTATAGTGAGTACAGTAGAAATATTAAACATTCCCTTTATATCGCCGCCATATAGGTAAAAAAGTTCGCTCCAAGTTTGGGAGCTGAATAGAGACACTAATGTCAATTCTACATTCGTGCCTCACGACATCACTTCTCCGAAATGTTGACGTTAGATTTTATCGACAAAAGATTAGTTCTTGAAGGTTCGTTTGAAATAGTTGCGAGTCACGGAACTTAACTGGCAACAAAAAAGCTTTATTAAAATACGATTTAATTAACAAACAAAGCTGGGCACGTACGATCTTTGCTGTGTCGAATGTATTCTTATTAAACTCTGTGTTAGGATATTTTTTCTGTGAAACGTTATCAATTGTTATTGTAATGTTACACTTGCAGTGCGGGTGTTGGGACATCTTAAGTTGTCACTTTGTTTTCTTTTACCAGCCTCTTCACCGAACGACGACCTTATTTTTTTATCCGACCATCTTTATTATAGGGCTGTGATTTTAACTTTAAAGGCTAATTACGATATCGCTAAACTTTTATTTATCCATATGCTAACTGCTATTTACGTCACAAAAGAGGAAAAAAATAAGGAATGTGGGCGGTCTTTTTGCTTAAAGAAGTTTCTAAAAACACTACATTTACTATGTAATAAAGGGATTATAATATTCTATATTTGATCTACTAATACTTCTATTTTAAAATTGTACGTTTTATTAATTGGCAACCCTAACATGTTACGGTAAATGTGTAAGCTAGTAGCCAGTGGAGATACGTGACGCGTTTGTTTGTTTACTGACCGTGCTTCCGAGAACACGGTATCAAGAGGATTACCTCAAGCCGATGCACTCTACTGTTGCAACAGGGATTTGTGTGGAATAAAACGCTGTTGATAACGCTATATTAAGATGTACTTAAGGAACTATAATTAGGAATTCTGCAACTTGAGCGCGTATTACGGTAGCCTTTTCCGAAATATAATAAACGTAAGCGTTTTTCATCTCATCCCTGAGGGTGTGGGTTCGATCCCCGGCTGTGCACCAATGGAGTTCCTATGTGCGCATTTAACATTCGCTCGAACGGTGAAGGAACATCGTGAGGAAACCGGCATGCTTTAAAAGCAAATAAGTTGGTGGTGTGTGTCAGGCACAGAAGGCTGATCACCAATTAGAAAAACAAATGATCACGACACAGATACAGAAATCTGTAAACCTAAAAAGGTTGTAGCGCCAGTGATTTTTTAAGCTATTTGATATCAATTCAATTTATTGGACTCGGTATCAAAGTTCTGGTTTTACGCTATGTATTTATACAACTATAATTACATTCTTATATCCGGTAGTATGAAACTCCAATTAATGATATAGTTTAAAAATTATGCTTTATTATTAAGTACAAGTAGGTTAATTAATGTATAAACTTTATTTATCGTGGTTATACTTTATATAAAATTTATACTGTATATAAAAGTATAAAGAACTGGTATTAGACAATCTTAAAAACATGCTGGTTAAAACTCTCGTCAAACGTAAATTAATCAATAAAGCCTTTTATAAATTTGACGATTATTTAAATGATCCTAATCATTGGGATTGATTTGCTCCAGTTCAAACAATTTGTATGACTCAAAACTTGGCGATTAAAAAGAGTTGCGGAGAGTTTCTTGCCAGTTCTTCTTGCCCGCCCTACGCCCTTGACTTGCGAACTGTAAATTTAGAATCAATTTAACATCTTTTCTGTTGACGTTCATAAGTGTACTTGGTTACCTATATGAATAAAGTTATTTGAGTTTGAGTTATAATATTTCATACACAATTAATGATATTTAATATATTGGACGTTTTTTAACTTTTTGACAATTCGACGCGTTTTTTTAACGTGAATCGTATACGCACTTCGATAATTTGAATTAATATTTGATGTATAAATTCTTTTCAGGTAATGTGGTTGGTGGCAGCAGTGGTCTCCCTGTGGGTGGTGCTCAGCACTGCAACGCTGTGCGAAGAGGCGCGTATGCGCTGCGCTTACCGCAGTGGGTGTGGTGCAGCTCTCAACAACTACATGATGCTGTGCAGCGACGTGCTCGCTCAGCCCTCTGACCACTGTCCGAAGGAGTGCGAGCATGCCCTCATAGCCCTAACGTCTACTGAAGAGGGAAAGGAATTAATGAATGTGAGTAAAAAGTTTTTTTGGAATAAACGTCTATTTTTATAGTTTGGTCTGGATATCCATAGTTGCTCCCGTCACGCTTTGAAATCAATTTTTTTTATAATTTAATATATTTGTTTTTTTTATCTATTCGGGTATGTAATGTAAAATATATATAAGTGCCTATAAGTGCTTGTCAATTTAAATCTTCGTATTTTATTTTTCTTGTACCAATGTATTAATGTTGTGAGTGAAACTTTAAAACTATTTTAAAGAGTGGGTGCATAGGAATATGTATGATGAAAATTTATTCGCCCAACACTTTCAAAGTAATAACAGATTGAGAGCATTTGTATTGCATGAATTTGTTGAAGAAATAAATCATGTACTTGAGAGGTCGTCACACATCAATAAGTTTTCATCACTGTTCGTTTATGGCGTCTACCCAATTGAGAGACGTCCAGTTACATTAGACCTATCCCACAATTTTATTGACTTCGTCTCTAGAGCAGTGTTGGCCTAGTGGCTTCAGCGTGGAACTCTCATCCCAGAGGGCATAGGTTCAATCCCTGGCTGTGCACCAATGGACTTTACTTGCGCATTTAACATTCGCTTGAACGGTGAATTAAACATCGTGAGGAAACCGGCTTGCCTTAGACCCAAAAAGGCGACGGCGTGTGTCAGGCACAGGAGGCTGATCACCTACTTGCCTATTATTTTGACAAATGATCACGAATCAGGTACAGAAATCTGCGACCCTAAAAAGTTATTACTAATTTTTACTTAAATTACACATTGTAAATAGTAGTTAAAAACAATATCCTTTTGTTGTCTCTAGTTTTACGGTACCATCAAATACCGCATTATACAGTAGCCAGAAATTATGAAAGATCGTACAAAAATGGTGTAGTTTGGTACAGACGGGCAGCAATAAAATCTAATTTAGACGTCAGATTTATCCGACACGATGCAGCGCCAGGGGTCGCGGTTGACGACCTCGTACACGTTTTTTTTACATAGTTAAATTACACTAAAAGTTGGGGAATTATTTTTTCTTATTCCCCTAAGAGAAGTAAAAGCTTAAAAGCTGTGACTGCCACTGTATGTTGTGTTTAAAAACATTCATTTAATTTAATTCTCTTAACCCACATAGTAATAATAATAATAGCTCATAAAATCTCGAAATCTACAATTCTTAAAAATATCGTATGTATATATATAGTATCAATCTGTCCACCACTAGAATAATCCCAAAACAGTTCAAATTCTATTCAATTCTTAGACATTTGATTTAATATAATTCTTCAAGCAGTTATATTAAATATGTACAGTAAGAATAACTCGCAAATTTCTACCACATAAATGAAAAAACTTTGTTCATTTGGCTTAGGCCCAGGTGGAACAGTGTACCACGATCCTGAGCAAAAGGAGACAGTTACCAAACATAATAATAATAAAAAAATATTTATTACATTAAAACAAATTTAAAAAGTGGCAGTGTATCTTTAATGCAGCATTTCCTCGCTGTATTGCGATACTTAAATATATAACCTTTCAAATATTAATTTATAATTACGATATATTTTACTGATTAAAGACAAGCAGAAGCCTGCTTTTTACTTGATAGTTATCGTTTATAGTAATTAGTTTTGTGTTACACCTTGCGTGTAGTAAAATAAACGTGACAAGATAATTACAAAAATTATAATTAGCATATTAGATATGTTGTGCCGGAACTAGTAAAAATTTTAATTATGTCGTGTAACGGTTAAGGTACTGTGTGGTTGGGCAATGTGTATCGAAAGGCAGGGCAAGCCGAGCAACCTTGAGATTGACGTCTTGATCGCGACCTACCGCAGCGCGCGCAGGTGTTGTTCTATCACAAAAAACAGCGTAAGACGGAGGCTCTTTATTCACCCGTTTCCTACATATCGACTTTTAATTAAACCTTACTGTCCTGGTATAATTAATAATATTGAAGCCCGTTTATTTTAAATCTTTTGATGTCATCAAAAAAGTCGCGGGATCGATGGATCCAAATAGCTCGGGATGGAGAAAGATTGCAAGCCTTGGAGGAGGCCTTTACCGGAGAGGGTTTCTGATACATACTTACTTTAAAACATATTTACTAACACATAGGATAACTAGATATTAGTGTGTTAAAATTTGTTATATCTTCCTCCTTATCTTACTCCCTTTTGTGATTGATAGGAACCCCTTCATGGGTAAAGGCCTCTTCCAGCTGTTTCCAAATATGGCTTTCTTTATTCGCCTCGTGCTAACGCTTCTACATCTTCTATTTACCTTTTTCTAGGGCGCATCTTGTCTTTTATCCCCTTGGATTCCATATAAAAAATAAATAAATCAGTGGCGCTACAAACTCTTTAGGTCTGGGGCTCAGATTTCTGAATCTGTTTTATGATCATTTTTCAATCTAATAGGCAAGTAGCTGATCGGCCTCCAGTGCCTGACACACGCCGTCGACTTTTTGGGTCTAAGACATGTCGGTTTCCTCACGATGTTTTCCTTCACCGTTCGAGCGAATGTTTAATGCGGACATAGAAAGAAAGTCCATGCACAGCCGGGGATCGAACCTACGACCTCAGGGATGAGAGTCGCACGCTGAAGCCACTAGGCCAGCACTGCTCACCGCCGCTTGGATTCCATATAGTGGTCTTAAAAGTCCACCTTTTATCTGTGCATCATGATATGCTCCGCCCATTGCCACTTCTGTTTTAGGGCATAATGAATCTATAACTTTTGGTTTTCGAAATTTAATTGTCGTTCCCAATGTTAAATCACTTCCTTATTTTATTTATTTATTAGTTATCTTACAGCTAACACATATTATAAAACAAAAGACTTAGACAATATACAAAGCCAAAACAGATTACATTGATAAATAAAATATATGAAACAGAAAACATAAGCACAAATAGACAAGAAAAAAGAAAATGAAATTAAACCTTAAACAAATGACAATTGATACTTAATTTTTTTTTAATTTTAAAGAAGAAACTAAATTGTTACTGATCAAACAAAGTCAAAGTCTTCCCGCTTCTTCAAATATTTCCTCACATACTCTTTGGTAAGGTGGAAAATATGAACATCAAAATCAAAAATCATTTATTAATATAGGTAAGACAATGTACACTTGTGAAAGTCAAAACAGAAATATATACATTAAATCTTTTACATTTACTGCCAGCTCTCAAATCAAGAGCGTAGAACGGAAGAGAGGAACTAGCAATAAACTCTCCGGTACTCTTTTTAATCGCCATGTTTTTTGTTTTACACAATGTTTGTAAGGAGCTGCAACCATTACACCATGTTCCACATGACATCTTAAGTAATAAATAGTTAATTTCAAACATCTTCATCATAGCTATCTAACAACCGAAATATTGGCGAATTACGCCGATAATTCGTATTCGTAACACATGGAATAATTGTGAATATCTTGTCGTAAATAAACGACAGCAAACTTAAAAAACTGAAAATATCTATAGTCGAATTTTTAATTAGACGATATCAACTGACGTTTACGGTGTTGTCAGTTTTTAATGAAATAAAAATAGTGTTGTGACAAAGTAAAAACCCCTGAATTAATGATCGGTGATGGCACTAGTCGCCGCGCCGCGCTTTGTAATAAGACGTCAAAAAACTGATTTTAGTTACATAGTACTAGTACCTAACTTATATCAGAGCACTTTTATACAATTTTGAAATAGAAATAATATTCTTTTATTGTTTGAAATGATTGACTATTCACACTCATTGTTCATTCATCTGATTGAACAAGAACTGAACGCATCACTATTACTTTAAATATGGCAACATTATTTTACAAAGTGACATTAGCTACTGTCAGTTGGCTTCGTCTAATTAAAAATACGACTATAGATGTGATTCAAATGAGTCATTGGTGCTTATTGCATGGTTCAACAACCGATAATCTAAGTTGAACGAATGCTAATGCGTTTACGTATAGATAAAATGCTAATATAATGATGTAATGAGATTTATGCAATCCAAATTTTATACCTCGAAATATGGAAACGGGATTTTATTAACGTTTCGTAATCTACCAACACAGTTTTATGAATATTTACACTGGCTTCCCATTTATGATTTCCCTAAACTTAGATTTTTACGTCTTCATGTGTTGTAATAAATGTATTTTTGTTCCAGTGCCAGTGTGAAGATGAATACTGCGTGGACGCGAAACAGAAGATCTATGTGTGTCGGGCGCAGGTTTTGAAGGGAGCTGCCGACGCCACCGCCTCCTGCCGCTTATCGCAGCTCATCTGCCAGGCTGATTCACAGTGTGGCACGGCATTAGTTTATTATAACGACAATTGTCGCTCAGTTTACCGCGGAAGGAAATGCTCTAAGAAGTGCCTTAACTCAATTGAGATTCTAAGGAAACAAGAGAAGGCCGCCGCATTAACAGCATGCAGGTGCGACGGGAATGAAGATTATGATTGTCCAAGGATGCAAAGTAATCTAGCGAAGTTATGCTTTCACAAACATTTGAAAAACCACACGAGGAGCCACGAAAGAGGGTATGAGAGACACCGGAAAACGCAGCACCATGAAGCGTCTGCAGCGAACAAATGTATTATATCTGTGATTATAATTTCTTTATGCCTTCTCTTCAGCTTGAAGTTCAAATCGTGACGGTGTTTTACCTCATAGCTGCAAAGATGTTAGTAAACAAATACGTCAATGTATATAAGTTTGTACAAATAGTATTAAGGTCGCAAGGTTGCGTGTGTGTGTGCAGATTACTTTAAGTTGTCGTTTATTTGAGTGTACTTGCAGTTAATATAGATATTCGAATAAGACTTATACGCTTTCGCCGCCCACGGGGGCGTGCGCGGGCGTCGCTATAAATACGGCGGCGCCGGTGGTCCGGTGACAAATGCTAGGGTGTATCGTCCCGACGCCAAAACTACGCCGATTGATCTAACGGTTGTCTTAACTTGTCAAGTAGTAATGAACGCGCACATTAAACATATCAGAAATTTGTTTCACTCGTATAAATGACAGCGAACGAGAGGTTAAAGGAAGTGGGTGTCTCCAGTGTCTCTGTGTGTACGCTAATCGCCTTTGAGTCGGAAGTGTTATGAACGTGGCGTTGTCGAAAGAACTCTTTTTTTTAAGTCAACTTCCTTTGACTCATTGTCATCCGTTCGTTTTAATGACCAAACTGAATACATGAATCACTATCCAGAATAAATAAACCAATTAACCACGGTCTTGTGTCGGGCTCAGAAAAAGTTGCATAAGTTTAACCAAAATTGATGTTCCGACAACATTAATTCCTTATTTGAATTTAGTGTAATTTCACTGTCCCCAATTGAACGTTTCCATGTATGAAATTTCTTCGAAGAGCGTATGACAGCGTGGTTTCTTCATAAGTCTCGGACCTTGTAATGAAGATATTGGAACCGGTTCGGGGCAAGGTCCCACGTGCGAAGCTTCGATTGTTGCCGCGTAAAATGATACCAAACATACATTTTTAATAACGTAAAAATTTATTCAAAAATATTTCAATTTTGTATATAAGAAAAAGGCTGAGATTATTCAAAGAAAACGATTCAAAACCAGGCTTAGTAAAAGAATTTAAACATTGCTCATTCATAACATATGTATATAGTAACATCGAAATGGTTTCAAAAAAGATAAAATTAAATACAAATCAAAATTTCCACCTCGTCAAACAGAGATGCTGAATTTCGTAAAAATTTCGGAAAATTATACAAAATTACACAACTTGCCCTCTGATATCAATAAATCCATTCAAATTCAGGATTAAAAATATAGACTCTGTACTAGAAACATATAAAATTCCTTTACATTTTAGTATTCATGCCAACATAATGTAGTTTACTAATGCTCCAACTGAACACGCTATTGCATTATGCAGTGCGTGGTATCCTAGGAATATGAATGAACATCCAACTTGGCGATGACATTCATTGCTCACACGATATTTATTATACATTTTTCCTACATTCATTATATCAGCGCAGCGACTTTATTAAATTATGTACCTGTATCAGTTGTATGTGAAAAAGTATAATATTAAGTGCATTTATATAAAAAATGCGACATTTTTGGACTTTCTACAACCAAATTGTACTTCTGACAGCATCTCATTCGTGGATTTTTTTTATAAAATCCACTTGATTCTCCTCACTGGTGGATATGGTTAAGAATTCTTTTGTCGTACTTAAAATGGACCAGGCGTTTTTGGGGGACATACATAAATGTTTTTATTATATAAAATGCCTTTTTTTAATTAGCGAGCGAATATGTTACGAATATTGTGATGTGTGTTTAGAATATGTATTAATATTTTTAAAAGTATATTATCACGAATTGTTTTTATAATATAATGTACAATTTTTATAAAATTTAGTATAAATGGGATTGAGTGTTGTTTGTAATTTTATATTATATTGTAATTTATTTAAGCACGAACATTTAAAAGATATCTTGGATTACCACCCGTTTAATTACAAATATTTTGTATTAATGAGAAATCTGTTACGATTTCTGCTTTATTGTAAGATTGTGATGGAATGATCATTAAGCGAGTACTACATGTAAACGAATACTTCTTTAACGGAAATATAAAATTTTTGTTAGTCTCGTTTACTAGGTAACGTTAACTCGTCAACTTTGATTTATATTATCTTAAACGTGTTTTAATCTGGCATTTCTTTTAATGAATAATTTTAAGGTCTTAGTTAGGGAAACTTTATTAACCACAGTTTACCAAAGTGAGATTACTAGATTTAGCAAAAACTGTAAATATCAATTGTAAACAATTATTAATATTGTTAATATTGATTATCGTACAAAGTATTTTAGAATATAGATATTTATTAATTTACTTTAAGTATGCTTTTAAGTATTTGTTGCATTGTTTCGTTTTTTTACAATTAAGGATTTCAGTTGTATTTATCAAAAATTCAATAAAATTTCTGTTTTCTATATCTTGTTTTCTTTTAATAAATTAATCATTTGAGGCCATGAATAGACACAGACATATCATTTATTATATACACAAAATAATAATAATAAAAAACAGAAAGAAATATAACAATTTTTTTAAAGAATCTGGTACACTTTGCGTTTAAGGTGTGTGTGTTGTGGTTGTAATTGGCCCTGGCTCAGCATTATGCTGAGGAGCAGACTGTTCCACAACGCTGGTCATTCTGCCAGAGACCACCACAGCCAGTTGGCGCCTCAGACGCAAAAAAAGAAAAAGAATGTAATAATAATATTAGAAAAAATGATAATAGCAAAAATTTACAGTGTAAGCAAAGATGTCTTGTGTAAAAGTATATAGTAAATAACCTCGTGTGTCACCACCATAATTATATTTTATATAAACAAAACCATTGCAACATAGTAGTACAAAGATCCTTTATATTTCAATAGCCGAAATGCTGTTACATGATTTACGAACCACTCTTACATGATTTACGAACCACTCTTAGTTCTTACTAAGTAACGTTTCCTTGTAGAGCGTGAGAACAATGTGTCAGCACAACGGTCACGTAGGCCTGTAAGAATAGGATATAAATATAATAGAACGCTTGTAATATACAGTATTAAACGGACCTCAAATCGGACCGGTTGTATTCATTTTAACTTTAAGTTTTTAAAAACCCTTTTTCGCGGACCCACTACTTGACTGGCGCTGAGGACAGGATAGTCGCTCTAGCTGCACGTACTTCTCAATTATCGGTTCGAGCATCAAATTCTGCTTACCTAAAAAGGGGAAACTACGTCGCGATTGCTAAAAACGGCTATTCAAAAGAACAAATAAATTTGTCAAGAACGCAAATTCAAAAGCGTTAAGGGTATTTTGTGCGAGTGTTGAGGCAGCGATGTACTGGTAAGTCACCTTTTCACCTTTCAAATCCAGCCCTCTCCACTTTTCTTTTGTTATTTTGAGATCGACATCTCTCATCTTAACGATAGTTTTAAGACTTTGTTAGAGTTAAATTGATATAAACGTAAATTGTAATAAGTTAATTTAAAGAAACATAGAAGTAAGTAGGTTAGTGCATGAAATTCTGCAACCCCTAAAGTAAGTATAAGTTTAGATTCACATCAAATTCTGTGAGCTAAAATTATTGAGTAATTGTGTAATTATTTAATCAAATAATTCCTGAAAGAATACATAAAACCCAAAAAGATATATTTTATATATTTCGGAAATACGGAACATCGCAAACAATTCAGCAACATGGTAATTAGGCTTTTTAAAGGTGGATCAATTCAATTTTATGAGTGTACGGAAAGAATAGTTTTTATTGACGATGAAAATGAACAGAAAGCCGTTATTCTGAAATTTCATCTCGGAAAAACCTGTCACAGAGGTATTCAAGAAACTTTTACTCGCATCAGGCGACACTTCTTTTGGAATAACATGAAAGAAACTATATCAGCAGTAATTAATTCTTGTGAAGCCTGTAAACATATGAAATATGACCGAAAGCCTTTGAAACCATATTTACAGTTAACTCAAAAGCAACATGCCCCATTCCAGGAATTATTTATAGATATATTTAGTATCGAAGGAAAAACATACCTCACCTTAGTTTACGCTTTTAGCAAACTAAGACAGGCAATTGAAATTACTATCAAAGGCACACCTGACGTTATCCGCGCACTAATAAAATACTTTTCATTTTACGGCATACCTAAGAAAATAAGCTGCGACTCTGGTACTGAATTCAACAACGATCTATTGAAAGAAATGATGTCACTCTATAAAATCCAAATACATATCGACACACCTAGGAACCCTAATTCAATGGGAATAGTTAAACGTTTTCATTCCACCTTAATTGAAATTTACAGACTGACAAAATACGAACAACAATGTACCGACGCCGCATCTTTTATATCACTCATCATGGCATATAATAATGCGATTCATACTGTAACAACTTTAACACCGTTTGAAGTAGTGTTTGGCCATGTAGATTCTGAAAACGCATTCAATATAGACTTCGAGAAACGATACTTGCAAAAATTAATTAAAGATCACGCCAAAAGAATAAAAGTTTTATACAAAATCATATCTGATAAAATGTTAACGTTTAAGGAAAACTCTAGAGAAAAACGCGGTGGCGAATCCGACGTCCCGTTACCAGAAGGGAAAACAATTTTCACAAAATTAATAAACACTCGTAGAAGTAAGTACAAACCTTGTTTTGAAAAGGCCATAGTTACAGGAAAACCTGAAAGAAACACCATCCCTATTAAAATTAGAGGTAAACACAAAAAGGTACCAATTAAAAACATAAAACGACTTCCAAAGGTGGTGCTTAGTGATCACGATGACACTCACGAGCCCCAGCTTGGGCCTTCAACTTCAAAAGGTTGAAAACAATTCAGGGATCCGTAAGACAGGGAACATCCTTCATCAAACAGGATAACTGGCTTATTTTTAAGGTATTAGATTTGAATGGCCTACTAATGGAATTAGAATATAACAATAGGAAATATAGTAATTTTAGTAAGATAGTAAGTGATGATAAGCCTTAGTTTAAAGAATTTTTAGGAATTAGGGAACAAGTAGAGTATTTGCAAAGAATAACTACTGAAAAGATTAGGCAAATAATCCCTTCACACCGAGTACGAAGAGGAAT